ATATATATATATATGTTTCTTATGAATTTTTCTCATTGAATCGAATGAAACTACGAACGAATAGTTTTAATTGAGCTTTTTGTATAAAAAGTACTCTTTTTGACATGTACTAATGTGCACTTTTTACAATGCTTTGAAGGATGTATCTGAACGTATAATGTATCTTTTTGACGCAATTTTTTTATGCTTTATTAAAAGATAAAAAACAGAAATTTATAAGATGAATAGGTTTTGTATTAAAGATTTTCCATGTAAAAAGTACATAGCTGTACTTGCATTTATTAACGTATCTCTGATTTCCATACAGACTAGTGAGATATTGTTTGTTATGAATTTTTCTAGCATAATCGAAGAGCAACTATGCGTAAATAGGCACAAATGCAAATATTTTTAGTAAATAAAACCCATATAACTTTTAAACTACTGGTCTGATCATCTTGTAAATGATTTGATTCAATTTTGCATAACAAAATGCATCAAAAGCAATGCATCACTTGCATGTTTGGAAGAAATTCAATTAACCCCCTCAAATTACTCCCATTTTTCTTAAAAAAGAGAAGAAACGTACAGAGGAGAGTAGCTGGGTTTTTAGGTATCATTTGTAATGACGTAGCAACGCTTTCTGTCGAAAAATATTTTTGGTGTTATTTATTCTGGAGGAACACTCTTTTTATTTCTATAATTACTGAATTAAAATGTATTTCATAGAAACTGCAAGAAATTGTGCTATTGTCACAACGACGAGTTATGAATGCGACGAATTGCCATCGCGACGAATTGTGCCCAAGATGAATTGTGCCCCTGACGAATTATGCCCACAACGAATTGTTGCTGCAATGAACTGCTTCTGTGATGAATTGCTGCTGCTGGGAACTGTCGCTGGGATGAATTGTTACTAAGATATGAATTGTTACTGGGGTGAATTGTTGCTGCGATGAATTTTTACTGAGATGAATTGTTACTGGGATGAATTGTCGCAACGACGAATTTTGCTCGCGAT